GTTGCAGAACATGATCTCATCCACTGCAATGCAAAACACGTTGATACATGGTCATGAGTTATAAGGCGTCAGAATCCACTAGGCCTTATTTATGATGATCTTGGGAGAGGAATTGCGTTCATGGTGATTGAATGTACATGTACTGCTCAGTGCATTTTCACGACAGCGAAAAAAATGGAACCCTGTAAGTCCCAAACCAAAACAGTCATATTTACTTATTACATATATCAGTGTGTTTGTCGCAGTGCGTTGTGGGATGGGGGGGGTCATCGTACGCCACGAATGGAGGAAGTAGCGCAAGTCCAAGTTACAGTTGATCAAAAGGAAGTGAAAGGCATCGTACCGAATCCAATTGTGGAGGATAGTTTCCCTGGAAGGTTCAAAACGATAGTATCACAAGATAAGTGCCGGTTTCAAACAGAGATAATCCTACTCATAATGGTTACGAAAGCGGTGTGTATACGCCCATGACCCCAGTTCTGTTCCACCGATGCATCGCGGTAAGCACTGTGATGCGTCATCAGTACACAGGGCCATAAGAACCCACGAGGACCACCACTGATGTGATCATCCGATATCTTAAAACGTATATTTGTATTTTGGGGGCACTACCATGAATGAAGTGGACATATTTTCCGGATCAGCTCCATACTGCGAAACACTTCTACTCAGAGCGAGTTATCTTCTGAACAGATACCGAAGGCGTCTGTCCTTTCTCCCCTGTGTGGTCACTGTCATCTCAATTGGCTATAATTTGAAGAGACCAGGGCCTGAGTTTAATTTGTGGACTGATTTCTCATTGGCCGACGTGTCTCGCCCGGGAAAGATCATTTCCGCTGATCATGGTTCAGAGCTGTTCGTTTCTTTTGCACGAAACGCCGAAATAAAGAGGCCGCTTCAATTTGTGGATAGAGGGCGCTATTCAACAATCGATGTAGCAGGGATGGGAGACACGGCTTGCAAGCTTGAACGGCGCTTCTTGTCTTCCTTCTTATGTTTACATCTGAAAATGCTTCCTTGTTTAGCAACCTTGTTCACTTCAATTTCTACGCCTTTGTTTTCGATTTAAAGCAAACACTGAAGTATATAGGCGGACACTCAAGTTCTTTGTTTTGAGCCTTAACAATACTTTTCGTGGTTTTTCTGTCTCTGTTTATGATGGTTTCTGAATTTGCCAGCAACGGGACGCGGAATTAAACGCGGTTTTCTGCTTTGAATGTGAGGTTTTACTGGTCGCAATCAAAGGTCTTCACTTCAAGCAACACCGCCGTAATACAGGATGTGAGGAACACATTAATTTCACGACTAGATCACACAAAAACGATGTTGGCTTTTAATGACACACACCTTTGGCAAAGGTCCCAGTACTAAACAGCACGGCATAATAATACATTGTTAAGTTGCCTTGCATAAACACGTATCGGGACTCGTTGGAAACAAACCGTCTTTTAGTTTTCTGAGGTGGAATACCGAGAGAAATGACCTCGCGACGGTGTCGTTCACCGACCTTATATGGACCTCTCTCACCGTTGCATGGCAGTAGGTCTTCGGGTAAGTTATCAGGTGACACGTACGATCCTCATCTTGACGCGAATGGAATCACCGTGTGAACAACCAGATTATGACCACCATCGACCAAATCATCTCTGAGGAAAACTTGATCAAAACATCTGCTGTGCACGCAACATCTCAGAAAATTAGCTCAGCTCAAACGCAAACACATCAACTTGACTAACAGGAAAAAATAAGACCAAATACTTTTTCGTCCCCCAAGCGTTTTATTACTTGCCCGCCGAGGTATGATTAGCCTACGTACTTGTTGATTCCCCAGGTCCACAAGATGGATGTGTTTCCCTCGGCATGATTTCTGAGTAGGCACTTTCAAAACGTGTAACAAGATCCTGCAGGCAAGAGAGTGGTTTATGTTGATATTCTATGTTCACTAAAAATTCCCCTGGCCCAACGTAAGGCGATGTCATGCTCTTTCCTCTGAGACTGAACTTCGTGCGAGCTTTTATACTGTTAATGTTAGAAGACGAGATAATGTTTTTCACTCATGACACAACCTGTGGACGTGTCCTGCTTGAAATTAAACACGACACTATGGGAAATTGTTTCGGCCACTACCATAGTCTTGTGGGTAATTTTAGACCGTAGCCAAGTAATGTGGACTCGGCCTTTATGTCATCGCACCGTCTTCCCCCACCTCACCATGCTGAGCATGCTGCTTCCAAATATCACTTGCATGCATGAATAATTTCTCCATATTCAATCCTATGGAATTCATGAGACTTGCGTGCGAAAATGAGTATACAATGTGCAGCTACAGAGCATCTCGAATACATATATATTTCGCCTACCATTAAGTACTTAGTGGAACTTCCAATCAGTTTTATGCACTAGGCCCTATTTGAAAGCCGTACGAACTTTCCATTCCATGCACGAAACTTAAAAGCGAAAGGAATTAAAAACAAAACTACACCTTTGTTAACAGCGGCCTGTTGGTCTAGTGGCATGATTCTCGCTTTGGGTGCGAGAGGTCCCGGGTTCAATTCCCGGACAGGCCCCTCTCCCTTGGGAGTTTGTTTTTATTGCTCTTATATTAAAAGTGATTCTGACATAAAAGGTATTTTTTGTTCGTGAGTCTGTGCGTTTGCTTTCTATTTTTTTCCTTGGGCCAAATTTCGTGATTTATTTTTCTCACAGACTGAACATTGGCTAACGTTATTAGTGACTGACCTGAAATCATGAATGACCCTGTTCGTCTGAGTAATAAGTCATGTTTGATTTCTTAAAGTTTGGTCAATGTGGTTAAAAACGCGGCAGTGCTTGTCGACGTAACTGTAATGGTAAAATGCTAAAAGACCGGGTTCAAACCACTGCATTTATTGTATAGAAAAATTCGGCTTATTGGTCTAGTATGACTCTCGCTGTGGGTGCGGGGGTTCTGTGTTCGATTCCCGGACAAGGCCCTAAAGTATTACTTTTAAAATTATTTTATAAAAATAAATTTTGGGTTCAGGGGTATATTTTGCGACTCGGCTTGTTGGTCAAGTGGTATGATTTATCGTTGTGGGTGCGACCGGGGTCCCGGGTTCGATTCCCGGACGAGCCCCTAAAGTATTACTTTTTAAATTATTTTTTAAAACAAATTTTAGGTTCAGGGGTGTTTCTTGCGCGTCGGCTTGTTGGTCTAGTGGTATGATTCTCGCTTAGGGTGCGAGAGGTCCCGGGTTCAATTCCCGGACAAGCCCACGCTTTCGTTTCTTTTCTTTTTTTTTGTCTCTGTTCCATTTTATTCTAATGTTCCCCTTCTCTTGCTGGTCAGACTTTGAATTCATTTCTTAGAAATGTGGTATGTTATCGAGTAACAAGTCGCAGTTTGGTTTCTTAAAGTTGAGTTCAAATATTTGAACGAAGGTTTGATGCTTCTCCTTATTGCATTTGGTCACAGTTTACCGTTCAGTGATAAGCAACGCGGCAGTGCTGTTTGAGTCGACGTAATCGTCGATCTAGCGTNAACAGTTGTTTCTGTTCATATGCTCAGGGACCGGGTTCAAGACACTGCATTTATTTTGTCGAAAATGTCGGCTTGTTGGTCTAGTGGCATGATTCTCGCTTTGGGTGCGAGAGGTCCCGGGTTCGATTCCCGGACAAGCCCCCAAATTTTGTCATTTTTCGGACGTATTGAGTTATTTTTCAAAATAAATGTTGGGTTCAGGGGTTTATTTCTTGCACCTCGGCTTGTTGGTCTAGTGGTATGATTCTCGCTTAGGGTGCGAGAGGTCCCGGGTTCAATTCCCGGACAAGCCCGCGCTTTCTTTATTTTTTTTCTTTTTTGTCCCTGTTTCATTTTATTGCTAATGTTCCCCTTCTCTTGCTGGATAGACTTTGAATTCATTTCTTTGAAATTTGGTATGTTATCGAGTAACAAGTCGCAGTTTGGTTTCTTAAAGTTGAGTTCAAATATTTGAACGAAGGTTTGATGCTTCTCCTTATTGCATTTGGTCACAGTTTACCGTTCAGTGATGAGCAACGCGGCAGTGCTTTTTGAGTCGACGCAATCGTCGATCTAGCGTAACAGTTGTTTCTTTAAATATGCTCAAGGACTGGGTTCAATACACTGGATATATTTT